GGGGTGCCCGTAGCTGGCAGCAGCAGGCTGGCCAGCGTGGTGGCCTTGATTTTAGCAGCAGGGTGCGCAGTGGGGAGGGGCGTGGAGATGGGGAGAGGGGGCACGTGATACCTCCCCCTCCCTGCCCCCAGCCCGAGCTACCTATACCGTTTGAGGTGGGGCCAGCACAGCTTGATTCTCGCTCTTGGGATGCTCCCCTGACAGTTTCCACCTCACCATGGAAGTGAGGGACAGCGGGGGTCTCCAAGCCTCCACGGTGCTCCAAGTGAACGTTGTGAACCTCAACGACGAGACCCCGCGTTTTACCAGGTAGGCCTGAGCACAGGCAGCGCCTCCGCAGCAGAGCCTCCCCCGATGCTTAAAGGATGATCTGGGGAGAGACGGGAGGGAGGAGATCCGCAGTGTCCTTTGTCTGGGCCTCTGGACTTGGGTGTTCCACCTCTGCACCCCACCTGCCCTTCAAAGGCATCGTAGACCTACATAGTGGAAGCCCCCTCCCTATTCGATGCCCTGGTGCAGCTTGCCACTGCCATTGTGCATGTGTAGATATTAATATAAGGCAGGCACTTTTCAATTGTGATTTTTTAAAGAATTATTTAAGTTACTATTATTTTTTAATTTGCTAGAGAGCACATGCACTCACTAGAGAGAGACAAAGAGAGAGAGAAAATGAAAAAACAAGCGTCCTGTCTGAAACTCTGGGACTCCAACTGCAGTGGGCCGTGTGGGAGCCCAACCCTTTAACCACCATGCCATGCACTGGCCCGGATGCAGGCACTTTTCCAATAAAGTGCTCCACATTAATAATATCAGAATCTTAGCCCTTATATGGCCAGCCAAGACTCTGTAAGCCCTGCTTGTCTTTAGAGTGTCATCCGCAGTGAAAGAGGGCTGTTTTACTGGTGCTTAAGGCACCTGCCCCTTGCTGGGTGTTCCAGTTTCTTCCTGCCAAGGTAGGTTCAGAAAAGGGATCCTGCCTTGGGAACCAGCAGTTAGCGTAATGGCTATGTCGCTGGACTCCCACGTAGTCGACCGCGGTTCGTGTCCCGGACCCGGTGGCTTAAAACTCACGCCGGGCGCGTGTGCGTGCGTGCCCAAGATCCCGAGAGGAGAATGGAGGAGAAGGGATTGCGGCGTGACCATCCCCCCTGGGGGGTGATTTCTCGCTTTCTGTCTCTATGTCTCTCTCTGTCTGTCTGGCGAACGCACGTGCCCTACAGTGAAAATCTCTCCAAAAAAAAAAAAAAAAATCCTGCCTTGTGTGACTCCCACTGCAGCAAAGGAAGGTAAGTCAAAGGACTCCCTGTGGGAATGTCTGGACCATCCCAGGCACACAGGGGATACCAGAGTCTGTTGTAGTTGGGGATTTAGGAGAAGATGAGATTCTGAGCTAGCAAATGTCCCTCCATACAGCCTGGCTCACAGACTGCCTGCCCCTGTTCCAGAACTGGGCTCAAGAGCCAGCCACAAGGAAATGGCAAAAATCACCTGCCGGGGGGCAATTGCATTCATAGTTGTGAATAAATTCAGCACAGGATACTCTACCAACAAAAAGTCATTAAGATACACTTATTAATAGTTAATTTAAAAAAATTTAAAAAGGGGGCCAGCAGGTGGCATGGTGGTTGAGAGCACTGGGCTCCCACATGGCCAAACACAGTTCGAGTCCCAGACCTGGCGGCTTGCTTTCTCACTCCCCCACCCCCACCCCCCGCTGCCCCTCTCTGGCCAAATTTAAATTAAGAAAGAAAGTTAAATAAAATCTAAATAAATAAATAAATGCCATTTGGCCCCAGAGCTAGGTGGCATGCTTAAAAATAGTCTAAGATTGGGAGATATTAAGGCTGCTGAATTCCCAGGCCCACCTGGTGCCATCTGGTGGATGCAGCACAGTTGTGGAACTTCTGGGTGGTGGTGTAGTCTGCAGACCAGTTGCTGGGTGTCAGCGTGGAGGAGCAGCAGCAGATAAACTCCCACATAAAGCTTCTCCGCCGTGCTTGTTGCCAGGTTAGTTTTAGAAGGAGAGCGCAGTGCATTTCTGCTGACAGTTCCTCCAGGAGCACAGTCCAGGCAGTTTATAAATAGTCGTGACATCATGGCCGGACTCAGGCTCAGGTACTGGCCCACACAGCTCTGTGGATTCACCAGTAAATGCAGAAGAAATGGATGGCTATGTGACGAGCTAATGCGTTCCTCAGTGGCCTTCCATATACCCAGTCTATGAGGTGAGGAGGCAGGTCAACGGGGCTGCAAAGGGAAATACAACCTCCCTAGGGGCAAAATGTGTAAGCCATCTGATTTAGATTTTGTCTTCCAAAATTCACCTTAGCAGGAGAGAACTTGTTTTGAGGGGGAAGGTATGCAGAGATCAGCCTAGAACGCTCTCATTCTCACTTTCAATTTGAGAGGTGAACCTATTAAGGTCCATCCGCAGGCAGAGAGCATGACCCAGTGATTATCTAACTTTTTTTTTTTTTAAGAGATTTCTGCTATAGGGTGTGTGTGCTTGCCAGAGACATAGAAAGGAAAACAGAAAATGAGAAACAACTTCCTAGCGGGGATGGCCATGCCGCAGTCCCTTCTCCATTCTTTTGGGATCTTGGGCATGCACACACAGGTGCCTGCCCGGAGTGAGTTTTAAGCCTCTGGGTCTGGGACTCAACTGCCATCAACTGCATGTGAGTCCAGTCACAACCATCACACCATCTGCTGGTCCCTTATCTAACATTTTAAAAAATCAGACTTAATTTCAGTGTTCTGAGAATGGTAGTAAAGAATCGATCTGTTAGAATCTGTACTCAATAAGGATTTGATGTTCCCCCAAATCAGTGCCAGCACTAACCATACGTTCTTTAATTCAGGATTACCAAAATTAAATTTTCAAATAGATTCAAGTACAGATTCAGGGATGACTTACAATGGGGTTATATCTCAGTAAACTCATTGTAAGTGTAAATTGAAAATGCACTTAATACACCCGACCTCCTGAACATCGCAGTTTAGCTCTGGTCTACCTGAAACATACTCAGAACACTTACTTTAGCTTCCAGTTGGGCAAAGCCTATGTTACAGTCAAGTGCTGACTGTTTCTGCAGTTTATTGAATACTGGGCTGGAAGTGAAAAATAAAATGGTTGTATGGGTCCTCAAAACAGTTTCTACTGAATGCATGTTGCTTTTACACCATGGTAGAGTTGAAAGACTGTTAAGCCAACCCTTCATACATGAGGGACCATCTGTGTACTGAGTTTGAGTGTGAAATAGACATGTAAAATGTAGAAACAGCCCTTCTATCTTTACTATTTGTTCAGCTTCTGCGATTAATACAGCCAAAGCAAGCAAGTTTAGCATTTTATCGCTGAGTGGTGACAAATGTCTGAATGCTTTATGGCCTCATGATGTTTACTCTAGAACTCTCTTGTTATTAAAGTTGGGCACTTTATGATAAAAGTACCTAACCTTGGGGCTGGCAGGTGGCATGGTGGTTAAGGGCGCTAGTCTCCCATATGGCCAACCATGGTTCAAATCTCGAACCTGGCGAGTTGCTTTCTCGCTTTCCCTCTCTCTTGCTCACGCTGTCCCTCTCTAGTCAAAATTAAAGTAAATAAATAAATAAAGTTAAATAATATAATTCTTAAAGGAAAAAAAAAAGGACTCCCATGTGGCAGACCATGGTTTGAGTCCTGGACCTGACAGCTTGCTTTCTCATGTTCCTTCTTTCTGTCACTCTCTGGTGAGTGCAAGTGCCCTACAGCAAATTTAATAATAATAATAAATAAAATAAATAGTTCTTTTTTTGAAAAGTACCTGACATATTTACTCTTTTGTTTTTTCTTCCAAAAGTACTTTTTTGGGGGCCAGTAGGTGGCGTGGTGGTTAAAGGCACTGGATTCCCACATGGCCCACCACAGTTCGAGTCCCAGATCTGGCAGCTTACTTTCTTGCTTTCCCTTTCTCTCTCTCTCTCTGGTTAAATAGAATAATAATAATAACAAATGGAGTTAAATAAATAATTGTAAGTACTTTTATTGATTTAGCCGGAGGGCCTGTTCACTCTGTGGAAAGAGTCAAAGAGAGAGAAAGGAGGAAGTGAGAGACATTCCCCTAGGGGAATGTTACATTGCATCCCTCTCCCTTCTCCTCCATCTCCCTTGTTTCAGAATTTTGGGCATGCAGGCACACACGCCCAGTGTGTTTTTCAAGTCCCCAGGTCCAGGACTCCAACTGTGTGGTCAATCATGTGAGATCCAGCTACCTTAACCAATATACCACCGAGTAACCCCATACTTATTCTTGACATGTGCATTGTGCTTGCTCTTTGTGCAAAGTACATTATTTTAGAGTCAATGGGGTAGGTCTCCCTTCCCTTCTGCCTATGTATTTTGTGTTTACTTGCAGTTTTTGTCCACTTGGGGCCTGCATTGTCATGACACCCTAGGTGCCTGCTGACTACCCATTCGTTGCAATGAAGCCATCCACTATCACCCAGAATTCACACTCTTACCTAGAGTGTGTCCATTGGCTTTACCTACCCCTTGCCCAGGCTCTGATGATCAAATGTCATGGGAGAGAAGAGTGTGAGAATATAAGTGGAATCAGAGCTTCACCCTGTTGGGATAGCTGCTGCCCAGTCCCTGACTTCACTGTGCTTCGAATAGATCTTAAGTGTGGTGAGACCTTTCTGTTGAATAATATTTTTGTACATACCTGGAACATCCAAATCAGATAGACCGACGAGTTCAGTCTTCTGTGAGGCTCAATTTCAGGTCAACCAAAGGGAGAATGTTTTGCCTGAGTTGTGCCATTACCAGTTGCTTGGTCAGTTCCCTTTATGGAGACCTCCTAGAGCCCCCAGCATGGACCAGATAGGCCTCAGAGCAGGGTTTCTTCAACAGTGGCACTTCTTTATTTTTTTTTGAGAGGTTTTCACTATAGGGCGCGTGCGCTCACCAGGCAGACAGAGACAGAGAGACAGAAAGTGAGAAATCACCCCCCAGGGGGGATGGTCACGTCGCAATCCCTTCTCCTCCATTCTCCTCTCAGGATCTTGGGCACGCACGTACACGCACCTGGCGTGAGTTCTAAGCCACCAGGTCCGGGACGCGAACCGTGGTCAACTACGTGGGAATCCAGTGACATAGCCATTACGCTAACTGCTGGTTCCCAACAGTGGCACTTCTGCCTTTGGAGTCAGATAGCTCTTTGTAGTGGGGACTGTCAGGCATTGTGAGTTGGTTAGCAGCATCTGGTGTCTATTGCCTAGATACCAATGGCAGCTCCCTCCCCCGTGGTGGTAACCAAGACTGTGTCTGGACATAATTGTATCCTACTGAGCCACACTGCCTTAGAAGGAAGGAGGGGAGGGAGAGGAGGGGGATTATCCTAGAGGGCTACCCTTGTCTGTCCTGTGGGTATCTGGGTACTTGTAGTGGTCCCTTCTGGCACTGCCCTGCAATGGTCCTTCTCAAATTGTATAGCATACACAGATCGTCTAGGCATCTCATGAAAATGCAGGTGCTGCTTTAGCGTTTGGGGTGGTGAGCCTGAGCTCTGCATTTTTTTCTTTTTTAAAAAGGTATTTATTTCATTTTACTTATTATCATTATTATTGTTTTTAATTTGGCCAGAGAGAGAGAAAGAGAAAGTGAGAAAGCAAGCTGTGAGATCCAGCACTTGAACCTTAGTCAGCCATGTGAGAGTTCAGCAACTTAACTGCCATGCCATCTGCCAGGCCCTGACATCTGCATTTCTAACGGGCTTCCGGGATCCCTGGTGACGCTGGTTTTGCTAGTCCTGGAGACAGGCCTGGAGTAGCGAGGGCAAGGCTGCGTAGACAGCACAGGTGTCCTAGTGCTTTCTGTGTTGGAATTCATGGCGCCCACTCAGGGCAACCGAAGGACAAATGGGCTGAATATGAATAAGGCAACGGACTGCGTATCTCAGTGCAGCTATAAAAGAGGATTTCGAATGTTCCTAACACAGAGTAATGACAAATGGCTGAGGTGATGGATATACTAATCACCCTGATTGAATCAATTCACTTTGTATTGTACTGCACGATCGTGTAATACTTGACAAATACACACAATTACTGTATGTCGAAACAAAACGAAAAGATCTGACGTCAGAAACAGCCTCTTGCAGAGTCAATAAAAGGACTTAGATGTGCCATAGAAACTGGGCCTCCTCCCTCTCTCCTCTGGCTCTGGTTTTGGGTCCTGCCAGCCTGCTTCTTCCTCACCACCTTGCTTATTCCCGACCATCAGTGGGCATCATCACTTCCGGAGAAGGGGTATGTCAGGTAAGTAAAAGGATTAACGGGCCTGTTTCGGTGAGACAGGCTGGGGAGAGGTTCGTGGTGCTGGAGCAAGCTCTTGGCCTGAACAAAATTGCTGTCCCCCAACACTGGAGTGTGCTCACAGGAGACCACCTCACGAATGTAGGAGGGGAGCCCTAGGAGCTGGGGTTGGGGGAGCCCTAGTGGAGAAGGTCCAGTGTGAGAGCCTAGTTCCAGCCTTGAGTCTTGCCAGGGGTTCCCTCTCCTTTCTCCTTCCTCTGGTCACCTCCTAGGAATGAGGAGGTAGAACCACAGAAAGCTCAGAAATCCGGAGCTCACAAAGCAAAGGCAGTCATTTAGGTTTGAGGTATAGTATGGCCCTCTTACAAAGGGTCCCACACTAGGGCCAGCAGGTGACAAGGTGGTTAAAGCACTAGACTTCTACATGGCCGATCACAGTTCAAGCCCCAGACCTGGCGGCTTGCTTTCTCACTCTCCCATTCTGTCTGTCTCTCCCTGGTGAACACACACGCCCTATAGCCAAAAAAAAAAATTTTTTTTTTGAGAGATTTTTGCTATAGGGCACGTGCGCTCACTAGAAAGTCAGAGAGAGAGAGATAGAAAGCTAGAAATCACCTCCCGGGGGGATGGCCACGCTGCAATCCCTTTTTCTCCATTCTCTTCTCGGGATCTTGAGCATGCAGGCACATGCACCCGGCGTGAGTTTTAAGTCACCGGGTCCAGGACTCGAACCGTGGTAGACTACATGGGAGTCCAGCAACATAGCTATTACGCCAACTGCTGGTCCCCCTATAGCAAATTTTAAAATAATAATAATAATAATAATACAATTAAATATTTTTTAGGGGCTAGAAGGTGGCGTGGTGGTGAAGGGTGCCAGACTCCCACATAGCTGACCATAGGTTCTGGACCTGGCGGCTTGATTTCTCTCTCTCTCTCTTTCTCTCTCTCTCTCACTGTCTCCCTCTATGGTCAAATTAAAATAAATAAATAAAAGTTAAATAAAATAATTTTTAAAAATAAATAAGTTTTATAAAATCCCACATGGGAAAAATCCCAGCTTGTGAAATTAGAGGTGGCTGCCCAAATGAAATGCCCTTTTCCTCAGCAAAAGGACTTCCTGCAGAATTATTTTCAACAGTAAGTTTTCCTGGATGCATTCAAAATTACTCCATTTACTTGATTTGTAAAGCTTAAACTTTCAGACTACCTGTCTTAGTGCTGGCCCTTTCCAAAGGCATTGGAAGTCTAAGAAAGGTGGGTAAGATGGTGATTTGGATTATCTTGTAAGAAGTTATCCTTGGAGGTCAGCACTCTGACCTTGTCTTCTGCAGGGGAACTCCTTCTCAGTCCAGAAAACTGACATGATTAATACAACTTGGAAAGGTACACAAGTTCTATATGTAAATTCTGTATCATTGGGGGCTGAGATTGGGGAGGAAGAAATAAAGAAAAAAGAGAAAAAGAGAAGGAAGAAATAAAAAGTAAGAAAAGGCACTAGAATAGAAGAGGTTTGCAATTGAGGCTAGAAGGTGGCATGGTGGTAAAGGACCAGGACTCCCACAGGGCTGACCACGGTTTGAGTCTTGGACCTGGTGGCTTGCTTTCTCTCTCTCTCTCTCTCTCTCACCCTCTCTCTGACTCTCTCTGCTGACTGTGCATGCTCTGTAGCAAATAAAAAAATAATAATGATGATAAGTAAAATTAAATATTAAAAAATAAAATGTTTACGATTTTTCTAGCTTCTGGTGACATCCGTGGGGTAAGAGTCAGGGACAAGGGAGGGAACCTATAATTCTAAATATTATGTTCCAGTGAATTTTTACAAGAATTCAGGGAACTTCTGCACAAAAATTGGAAGGAGATAGCTGGCTAATGCAGTGGTCCTCGTTTTCAAAGATGACGTGAAGGCCCATCTGCAACGGCATCAGGCAGGCGTGCAGAGTCAGAGCCTGTGGCCCATGTAAATTGTCGCCGTATAGGCGTGGCACTTTCTTCACATCCACAGAGCTGTGATCTTTGGAAATGCAAAATCCAGTCACCCCCTGCTCCCCTCAGCTGCTGTGTTCTTCCTCTGTGCATGTTGATGCAACTCAGACAGCTCAGTGCTATATTTAGTACTAACCAAAATACCCACCGCCCGGACGCCACCCTCCTGTGCCCCTGAAAATGAGCTGTGTCTGCTGTATTTCTGTTCCAGCCCAACACAAGTGTACACGATTCTGGAGGAGCTGAGTCCAGGAACCATTGTGGCCAATATCACAGCCGAGGATCCTGATGACGAAGGTTCTCCCAGCCAGCTCCTCTACAGCATCACTCCTGTTAGCAACTATTTTATGATAAACCAGTGTAAGTCACACACAGCCGTCCTCGAAGGCATCCCGTAATCCAGCATTTGGGTGTTTTACCATATTTTAATCGATCTTCTCATCTGAGGCATGCCTTTCTGTCTAGGGGGTCTCATTCATTACCAGGGTAAGAGATGTCCTGAAATCAGCTGGCATGGGGGTTGGGGAAACTGAAGGAGGCCCAAGGTGACAGCTGTGTCATTTTTCACCTTTGGAGGAGAGAAGGGATTTCTGGCCCATTATTTGGTTCATAACTGAGACCACTGTAAACAAAAGGCAGATTAACAAAAATGTATATAGTTAATGTAAGTTAGTACAAGTTTTTTGGGGGGAGAGGTTTTTGCTATAGGGCGCGTGCGCTCGCCAGACAGACAGAGAGAGACAGAGAGATAGAAAGCAAGAAATCACCCCCCAGGGGGGATGGCCATGCCGCAATCCCTTCTCCTCCATTCTCCTCTCGGGATCCTGGGCACACACGCACGCACACACCCCCGGTGTGAGTTTAAGCCACCGGGTCCGGGACTCAAACTGTGGTCGACTACATGGGAGTCCAGCGACATAGCCATTACGCTAACTGCTGGTCCCAATTAGTACAAGTTTTATGCAACACAGAAGCCCACAGAAATGAACACCCTCCTAAAAGGCAGGGAAATATGTATTTTTATGCTGAGTTTCCTAAAGAAGTGAATAGTTACTTACAATCAAGAACAAAAGGGCATGATTGGAGGACAAAATGAGGTAAGATTTAACGGAAACAAACTAGGAGGAACTTAGCGATGCCTGTTTGTTCAGGTTCTTCTTGGCATTTTTATGACTTCCAGGATAAGACTATTCCTTGGGGGGCTTTTAGGTGGTGTGGTGGTTAAGGGTGCTGGACTCTCATATGGCTGATTGCGGTTTGAGTCCCAGACCTGGCACCTTGCTTTCTCACTTTTCCTCTCTCTCACTCTGTCCCTCTCTGGTCAAATTAAAATAAATAAATAAAATAATTCTTATTTATTAATTTATTTGGAGAGGTTTTTGCTGTAGGGCATGTGTGCACTCTGAAAAGACAGAGAGAAACAAAGTGAGAAATCACCCCCCAGGGGGGATGGCCACGCCACAATCCCTTCTCTTGGGATCTTGGGCACGCATGCACAAGCGCCCAGCATGAGTTTAAGCCACCGGGTCCGGGACTCGAACCGTGGTCGGATACATGAG